ATGGCTTCCGTCGATCTTCTTCCGGAGGCAACGTGGAGAATCACGACACAGACGTTGAATGGCCGGAGCAAACAACACAGGCGATATCAAATTGTCCACCCAGTAGCTGGCATGGCGAGCGCGCTCACCGTCTAGGGGCTCTCCAGTCACGGTAGATATCATGGGAATCGTTGAGTGTGAAGTATGAGAGTGATGACCCGCTTCAAGGTTCCCGAAGTGACGCCGGCAGTCATCGGCGATCTGTTGTATTTGAGGGGAATGATATGCTGCAGCAACTTTGAGGCGACGCGAAAAGATGCCTGCATCTCTCAGCATCTGGTCCAGATACTTGATCTGGCCTTCCTCGCCGGAGATGGTCGTGTTTGAAGGACTGTTGATGCACGCGACGACCACTTTCTCAGGCTCGGGTAGCTGAGCTATATAGGACTGGGCTTGCGTCGCAGACAGTCCAACTGCCAACATGGCGCCTTTGTTGCGGTCTTGCTCGATCATAGAGGCCACGAAGTACCCACGGTAGTATGCGATACGCAAAGCTGAGCTACGTGATATAAAACCCGCACAGTATCTGAGGAATATTAGCAACCTGAAGAACGAAGCAGAGGGTTTTTCCTACGCCGCAGCAATTTCACCCATCGAATGGCCCACGACGGCCAAAGGCCGCACCTGAAAGGAATCCAGAAGATCCACTAAAGCTATCTGCAACGTAGCCGTCAGGGCTTGGGAGATATGAGGCTCGTTAATTTGAGATGTGAATTCGCTTTTCAAGAACTCCTCTGAAGTGAAGTGCAAGAGTCAGCTATGAGCATGCAACGAGCGTTGTACACTTAGTAGGTCTGCCTCCGACTCACCTCTTGCGGACCAAGGACAACCTAGTTGGCGAAAAAGAGTATCGGCCTCCATAAGGACACGGGAAAACGCAGGGTAGTGCAGCAATTCCCGGCCCATTGCATACCATTGTGCTCCCTGGCCGGTGAAGATAAACGCCAACCGAGGGGGCGTTGGGCTGGTGAGCTTCGGCGCCGAGGCACTCTTGTTCAGCTGCTCCCAGTCGGTGGAAGAGGATGCCACTGCATAAGTTTTCCAGGGGAAGACGCTACGGCGTGAGTCAAGCGTGTAGGCGGCATGTGCTGTCCAAGACGGCGCGTGTTGATACTCTCCGCCAGAGACAGTTTCCGCCCAGCGGCTCACAAGCGACTTAAGAGATTTCTCACTTGCCGCAGACCAAACAAGTAATCGTGGGATCTTAGTCAAGCCTTCTTGTTGCGGTAACAACTCCTCATTACATCGCCTGTGTTGCGGATGACACATGAACTGCTCGAGGCTACGATCATCGTCCGGCACAGTTCGATGATTCCCCCGTAGCTGATGTCGTCGGAGATAGCTTGCTGCATCATCGATGACAATGTGGCAATTACTGCCTCCAAAACCAAAGGAGTTTATTGAGGCGCGACGGATCTCAGCTGGAGGCCATATGATGCCCTGCGCCGGGGGTACAGCCAAACAAGAATCATAGGGTTCCAATTGTGGATCCAGTCGCTCGAAGTTCGTGTTGGGCGGGATGATGCCGCGCTCCACGGCCATAATAGCCTTCATAACACCGGCTATCCCGCTTGCACCTTCCAGGTGTCCGATATTGGTCTTAACAGCACCCAGGTATAGCGGACTATTTGCCGTGCGGTGGTTGCGAAAGCAGTTAGCAATAGCGGATACCTCGGCTGGATCGCCAATCGGCGTGCCGGTGCCATGGGCCTCGAAAAACCGAGTATGATGTAGAGAAAGTCCCGCTTGGGCATAGGTCTCTCGAATGAGCTGAGATTGGGCCTCACTTGCAGGCTGTGTGATGCCGGGAGTGCGGCCGTCTTGATTGCTGGCCGTGGCACGGATGACAGCGCGAATGGTATCATTGTCGCGAAGGGCATCAGAGAGGCGTTTGAGCACAATAACAGCAACGCCTTCACCACGTGAGTAGCCGTTGGCACGAGAGTCGAAGGTGTAGGAGCGGCCATCGGGCGACAGCATGTGGTTATTGCTGAGAATGATGCTGTAGTCCGGGTCGAGGAGCAGGTTGCACCCGGCGGCAAGACCCATATCAGTTTGGCCACTGAGAAGGAGGCGGCAAGCACAGTCAATAGCCAGAGCACTACTGGAGCAAGCCGAATCTATATTAAAGGACGGTCCACGCAGATTGAAGAACCAACTGATTCGGTTGGCCAGCATTGACGGAGAGGCGCCGACAGCTGCGTAGGGCGGTAGTCGTTGAGGGTCTTTGAGCAATTGATGGAGATAGTCATTGGAGAAGCAGCCGGTATGGACTGATGTCCGAGATCCATGCAGGTCTTCTATCCGAATCCCAGCCGTGTCTAGAGCCTCCACTGTGGTCTCAAGGAGCAATCGCTGCATGGGATCCATGGCCGCTGCCTCAGATGGGGTAATTGAAAAGAAGTCAGCATCGAAGCGGCTCAGGTCTTCTTGCAGGAAATGTGCGCCACGCGTGCCGAGCTCATTACGTCGCGTAGGATGGTAGAAGGCGTTGATATTCATTCGATCCTTGGGGAACTCAGTGCGTGCACTGCGGCGTTCCATGAGCATCTTCCAGAAGCCATCCTCCGAAACGGCGTCCTGAGGAAGCTTGAGCCCAATACCACATACGGCAATGGGCTCCGCAAACTCACGATCCTCATCGAGATGGTAAGCGCCCTCGCTGGACGTACTTGGCGTTGGGTGTCTTTCGAAGAACATTGGTACAACGTGCAATACTAAGAGATAGAGAAAGCATCTCAGTCATTGAGATGGGCTTGAACAATTCCGGAAGGAGGACAAGAGAGTGAGCTGCCTTTATACCTCAGCCTTCCTAGGCAGTCTGAGCCTCTGTCCATAAGCGAAGCAAAGTAGGAAGATGTCGTAAGACACCTCGGGTTTTCCAGATATTGACTAGTCAACAGCTACCCCCAGGCCATCCCTCCAAAGCAGTATATAATTCGTGCAAATAACCCTGGAAGAGCCCAGCAGAATCCTACCCCAATCCTCCGAACAAATATCTGCATCATCTCAATTAATTCATCATTCTAGACTTCATCGCTCACCTTATTGACTATGCGCTTCTTGTGCCTTCACGGAGCTGGCACTAACAGCAAGGTCAGTTGCTAAATCACAATATCTTCGCAATCCATCATGACTACTAACTCAAGCAACTGAACGTACAGATCTTCGAAGCTCAAACTGGTAGGAGCCAAAGAACCAGCCCTCTACTCAGCCCATTTCACCCTCTCCCTTTCTGAAGGTGCACTCAATGGTTTGGCTTGATCTGGACTAACTTCGCACCGCCCTCGGGGTGTGGGTTGACTAGCGGCACTACGATATGAACTTGGTGGTAATCATACGTACGAATTCGTCGAGGGCCATATCCCGCAGCCTCAAGCCCCAGGTGCGTCGTATTTACCCGAGTTTCATGCTCCAGTAAGACGGGCATTAAGGCTCGGTTATGCGAAGGGCGTGCTGGTGCATACTAATCAGTATCCAAAATAGCAATCGAACGGTTCGCAACAAGCGGGGATGAGTACTATGCCTACTACACCCCTGGTAGCCAGCCGTCATTTACCACCGCCAAGGCGCATTTGCAGGCCTACGTGGAAACTGAAGGACCGTTTGATGGAGTGATCGCGTTTTCGCAAGGCGCCTCCCTGGCCAGTGCTTTGCTGCTCGGAGACGAACACGCACAGGCACTGCCCTTCCGCTGCGCCATCTTGATATGTGGTCGTTTGCCAATGACAGACGAGCGTTCCTTATGCAATGTGATGGGGGCGGGAAAGGAAGGCCTGCAGAAGGAAGATGAGGAGAAGGTGGAGAGTGATGATGACAGTGGTGGTTGGGACTGCAAGGAACGGCAAATCTCAATTCCGACAGTGCATATCATGGCGGCTAATGACCCGATTGACCCCGGCCATGCTAAGGCCCTTTGGACCTGCTGCAATGCGGCAGTGCGGTGGGAGTGTGTTCATGAATTGGGGCATGAGGTACCTGGGGCTCGAGACCAAGAAGTGTTGGTGGAGAGCGTCAACGCTATTCGACGCATGTTGGGCGCAGTGGGAAGCACGTGTTGAGGGACTGTATAATACACCTGCAGCTGACAGAGAGTCCAGACTAGTCTTGAAACATACTACTATTTGCAGGGTTAACCTACCGCCGTCCCTATTCATCCTCCCGGTCTTCGATCCAGAAGGATCCATATTAGGCCCAAACATTCTGCCCCCACCCTCCCTTCATGCCATCTAACGCATTTTCCCTCCCTTCTCATAAATGACAAAAATTAATAGAAATTCCCGCCGTGCCCCTCAGGCCATCCATGCGTTGGCCCCCAAGAGTAAGCACTAATGCATGTCCTCAAGGGAGGTGGGCGGGCGGGCTGGGTAAGCTCGATGGACTGTAGTTACGACTCTGGGATGGATGTTTTGGTGACATTGATGGTTGTTGTACATCAGTAAGGGTCAGCATGGGCCTCAGCTCCATCCTAGCATGGCCGATCGACGTCTGAGATAAGTTGTTCTCTATTTAGACCACCACCATCACCATCACCATCACCATCACCATCACCATCACCATCATCATTACCATTACCATCGGCCAAGATACTATCAGTCTCCCTTTCGTACCGTCATAGCGCTCTCTTCACTGCCACCTTCACCATTACTATCAGTATCGTTGAAGAAATCATGTCAGGCACAACGGAAGTCAATTTGCAAGAGGACCGAGGCCCACGCATGCGCGTTCTGCTAATTATTATGGCCATTTTACCAAGTATTGCCGTTGCTCTGCGGTTCTGGTCGCGAACGAAATTGCCCACGAAGGGCTCATTTCCACGCCTATGGTGGGATGACTGGGCTGCTCTTCTGGCGGGGGTAAGTACTAGTATTCTGATTTAATCTCCGATTGGATTTGTTTCTCTCTTTCCTGTTTACTTTTTCACTGAATGTCAACAGATGATCAATATTGCCGTGTGTGCCATGGGACTCAAGATGTGCGACATTGGCATGGGGCGGCATGTGGAGGTGGTGTCAGCGGAGCATTTGACAATCTTCCTGAAACTTCTCTGGGCGGAGTATTTCGTGTTTGACACGGGCACTTCGGTGGCCAAAGCCTCAGCCTTGTTCTTCTACTCGCGGCTCTTCAGCCAGGCTAATACCCGCTTTCGATATTGCATCTATGTGGTGCATGCATTGAACGCCCTCTGGCTGGTGGGCATTCTCCTCTCCGTCATCTTCGAATGCACGCCAATTCAGAAGGTCTGGTACCCCACCCTGCCCGGTCGATGTGATAATTCCCGCATTCTATGGATGGGCAGTGGCATTCCCAGTCTGATCATTGATGTCTTCATCCTGGTCCTTCCGGTGCCAATGGTCCTGCGGCTGAAGATGAATCCCACCCGAAAGATGCTGGCCATCGGGGTGATTGTGCTCGGTTATTTGTGAGTATTATTTTATTGTTACCCACTCCTTTCTCCGATTTTGTGTTAATAGAAACCACGATATTGATTGTCTGGCCTGCTTATGTTGTCTAGAGTGGTAGTTGTCTCTATTGGTCGACTTGTCTCGATCGTTCAATCCGGCGACGGACTTCAAACCGATCCTACCTGTAAGCCTCATTCCACCTGCCCTCTCCCCCTTCCCTTCCCTCCCCTACCCCTTTCAAACTATTTGGCATTCTCAATTTGAAGCAAATCAAGAAAAATATTATCATTAGTATTATTGATGATGATGATAATAACATACTAAACAGTTAACATCATTACTCCCGTCTATTGGCTGGGATCCGAAATCCCCATTTCGGTCATTAGTGTCTGTCTGCCCAGTATCTTTCTCCTCATCCGTCATCTCTGCGCCCGCCAATTCCAGTCTCTCGGCGGTGGCAGTACCAGCACGCCTCAAGATTCCTATCGTTCCTCCACCCGCAAGTTAATCTACCAGAAGCGCCCTGAGCGGGGTTCAAGCTTAGGGGGAGGCGTCCGCCGCGGCGACTTCCCGCATCCTGCAGATAGCAACAATGATATAGTCCCGCTTAATTGGGTGGAGCCGTCCATTATAGCTCCACAGTCGATACGAGGGAGTGCACCTAGGGCCGGAGAGATTATGGTCAAGAATGATATCGTAGTGTCTTAACTAAGCTTATGTGGAAGCGAAGGGGGTGGCGTTGGCATTGACCGGTGTTGCTGTGGTTGTTTAATTGTTCTTTTCAAGGTATCTTGTCAGGGTAAATAGCGGCAAGTCAGTCCGAAGTTCGCTTAGTGGCGTAGCAATGCATACAAAAGGAATCTTACTTGCTTCGGTGAATTTGCCTAAGTGATAAGGCTGTGCCAACACGCTGCGGCGGCTGACTGCTGCATGGTGTATTGTCTAGCGTCAACTGCGCTGGCTTCCCTTTGCCGCTTCAGGTATTGATCGGTCTTCCATCCCTGCACGTCATGGCTGTGATGGCCCCCATCTTTTTCCGTGTGTCACCAGCTACTTTCTGGCTTGTCGCTGACCTTACAGGGATGCTTCTCCAAATTGCAGCTCTAGAAAGCAATCCTCAACTCATACACTAGACTTAAGTATGATGTCTGAAGAACCCGCCATACGAATGGGAAGGGAAGTGAGTGGTTTGCCCTAACGCCTCCCACGATATTTCCCCATTTCCCATACTCTTGATCTTACCTTCTATGTCTCTCTTTTTTTTTGTCAGTTCCTAAAAGCCTTCCACCCTCCAATTTCTAGTCTCATTTCATCATGTCCGAGACTCGAGCTTCAACAACGGTTGAGGGCCATGAGACAGCCACCAACGTTCCGGGCCATCACGATTCGAAGCCTTTGACATGGTTTCTCGTCGTCTTCTCCTTATTAGCAGCCCTGTTCCTGTTTGCACTGGACAACACCATTGTGGCCAATGTCCAACCTGCTATCATCGGAACTCTGGGGGAAATTGAGAAACTCCCATGGATTTCCGTTGCATTTGCCCTTGGGGCCATCGCGACAGATCTCCCTTGGGGCCAGATCTACGGACACTTCAACAACAAATTCCTCTTCCTCGCCAGCGTAGTGATCTTCGAGGTGGGCTCCGCTGTCTGCGGAGCGGCACCCACGATGAACGCGCTGATCGTGGGTCGGGCGATTTGTGGCATCGGCGGCATGGGCATCTATCTAGGCACGGTCAACATGGTATCGGCCTTGACCACGGAAGCCCAACGACCGCTCTACCTAGGGTTTGTCGGGTTGACATGGGGGATTGGAACCATTCTCGGACCCATCATCGGCGGTGCCTTCGCCGACAATTCCTCGGCCACCTGGCGCTGGTCCTTCTACATCAATCTCTGCATCGGAGGGCTAGCAGCCCCGGTGTACTTCTGGCTGCTGCCCCAGACTGCCTCACCACGCCCAGGACAGTCGCTATTGACGCGCATATGGGCGCTAGATGTAGTCGGGATGGTGCTGAGCGCGGGGGCCATCACCAGTCTCATCATGGCGATCTCGTTCGGGGGCAGCTTGTATGCATGGGGGAGCGGGCGGATCATCGGGCTATTTGTGTGCTCGGGGGTTCTATGGCTGCTATTCATTGGGCAACAGGCGTGGTCGCTGGGACTACGACCGGAGGCGCAGGGCCAGCGGCTCTTCCCGACAACGCTCGTCCGCTCGTGGGAGATGGACGTGCTCTTCGCACAGATGGCCAGTGCCCAGGTGTTGGTGATGGTGCCCATCTACTTTCTGCCCATTCTGTTCCAGTTCGCGCATAACGACACCGCGTTGGCTAGCGGGGTGCACCTACTACCATTTGTACTCGTGCTTGTCGTGGCCGTCATGCTAAACGGCGCCCTCACGGCCCAGCTAGGCTACTACATGCCGTGGTACCTGGCGGGTGCCTGTCTCGCCCTTGCTGGTAGCGCCCTCTTCTATACCGTCGGTCCCGACACCAGCAGCGCTCGTCTGTATGGCTACTCGGTGCTCACGGCTTTTGGCGTCGGCTGCTACTCCCAGGCTGGATTTCCCGTCGCTCAAGTCAAGGTATCCCCCGCCAAACTCACCCAGGCGGTCGCCTTTATCGGCGTCGGTCAGGTTGGCGGTATTGCCCTCGCCTTGACCATCTCCAACACCATCTTCCTCAACAAGGCCACTAGCCGCATCTCCACCATCCTTCCTCAGCAGTCTCGCTCGACTATCCAGCAGGCCATCTCCGGTGTGCGCGCTGAGTTATTTAGCTCGTTGAGTGTTGCACAACGTCAGCGTGTGGTGGCTGCCATTGTGAGCAGTGTCGATGACGTGTTTGTCCTGATGATTGCCGCTGCCGCTCTGTCTGTGGTGCTGGCGTTGGTCATGAAGCGGGAACGATTATTCGTGATATCGTCGAAAGGAGATGGTGAAGAGGTCGAAGAAGAGGTATTGGGAACTAAAGAACAGAACTTACAATAGTTTTCTACAAGTTTGAAAAGAGAGAGATATCTACGTAGTGAAAGGGGGTAAGAGTGAAGTTAGACTTGAACCTTGGTGCTTAGGGCTTGGTGTTGGTGATAGTAGTAATAGTATTCTAATTAAGGGTGAATTGGAGCTGTTCAGTCACTTCCATGATTCCTATAATTTGATTGTACTAGAATCTTGTTTCAATCTCCTCCTCCTTCCCCCGCTTCCTTCCCGCCGCCCCCACCAACATCTGTGGAGACGTGAATATTATCGTGATAACCCACACCCGAATGCTTATTATATCCTACTCCTCCATACCTCCTAAACAGGAGTAGTGCAGAGTGCGCTCTGGTGCATGAGTGCACAGTGTCTAGTATTAACCGCAGTGTACGTAAGTATATGGTGGGTATCATTCCCATGGAGGCAGTGCAAGGCTCTCTCTCGTAAGATCAATGCTCCATGCACATACCCCCTTGTCTAGTTCGCTCTTAGTTATCTACTCCTTACAGAGAGATTCCCCTCCTCCTTGGCGATCATCCTTGACTTCATCCCCACTAATTTCTGACGGCAGCCACCCACATTCTTAGGCTCGACCAAACACTAGTCAGCCCATCCTTTCACAACCTAAATTAAGATGCAGTAGTCAACGGGCTAGACAAGGGCCTGTCATCCAATCGTGGAAAATCACGCAGCCACTTGAACCGTCAAAGTGATCCCCCCCGCGACATCGGCTAACGTTGCTGTTGACCAGGATACTCGCTTGATTTTCCAGGACAGGGCAACAAAGAGATAGCATTGCTGCCTCGTTTCACTGTTTGAGGTTGATGGAGTACATACTTTGTACCACGGGGGGTACCAATTACTACCTTACCCTATCTATAATTCAGCCTTGTCTCGAATAAGTATAATAGGTTAACCCCTCCTCCTCCCAGGGAACTTCCCCCCTCTCCGTAGGCACTCATAATTCCAAGCTTTCCTTTCTCTGTCTTTCTTCTCTCTTACACACTCACACTCTCAAATCTACTTCACCCTCTTTCTCTCATTTACAGTCTTTCCTCCCACATCCACAATGGTCATCAGAGGCACTCAATTAGATGGCGTCGCTCTGGTCGTCGGCGTAAGAACCTTTCGCTCCCCCACCACAATGAAACCCTCTTCCCAACTAACCTCCCGTCAATCCAGTCCGGCCGTGGCATCGGCCAACAAGCCGCCTTCTCCCTCGCCGAAGCAGGCGCCCGTGTCATCGTCTTCGCCGACATGAACACCGAAACAGCCACTGCCTCCGCCGAAGAGAGCAAACAATACGCCACGAACCCCGAATACCAATCCACTCACTTCACCGTCAACGTGACCGACCAAGACGGCGTGCAAGCCATGGTTGACTTTGTCGTCGAGAAGTTCGGACGGCTAGACTATGCCGTCAACGCTGCAGGAGTGAGTCCCATCCACCATCATCATCCATTGAAAATATTCCACAACAACCTAGCGCATAGTTCTCTTCCCGCCAAGCTAACCCCCAAATCAAATAGGTCGACAACGGCGTGCACACCCCCTTCGCCGACACCGACATCGACAACTTCGACCGCGTCCAAACCATCAACGCCCGCGGAATGTTCCTCTGCTGCCGCGCCGAAGCCGCCGCCATGCGCAAGCAGACCTCGCGCAGTTTCACCAGCCGCACCGGCACCCGGGACATTGGTCGCGGTGCCATCGTAAACGTCTGCTCGGCTAACTCCTTCGCTGGACTGCCCGGGAAGGGATCGTATACCGTCTCCAAGCATGCTTGCATGGCGGTGACGAAGATGGTTGGTATGTTTACCCCCCACGATACTATCCTATCCAATCCAACCCGTTCCCCTGATATTTTATATTAATGCTGGTATAGGACTGGACCACTCCGCCGAAGGCATCCGCTGCAACGCCGTGTGTCCCATCTGGGTCCGCACCCCTCTTCTTGACGTCGAGTTGGAGCGAAACCCCCAGGTGCGCGCGGAGATCGAGGCCGTTATACCGATTAAGCGTGCGGCGGAGAGTGATGAGGTGGG